GCATAACATCATCCTTCGTGCTTTACACTCTTCCTCACCAAGTACATGTATATCAATAACAAGCAAGGTAGGAAGCATGAATAACATCAAGGAGAGTGATTAAGCGGATTCCAAATGAACACAAATCACAGCTTTCAAGCCAATAACAATTCAACAAACCTCAAGAACCTCATTGTTAAAGTATCTCAACCAATCTAAAAAAATGATCTTCAACTCAAGTATAGAATCCAATATCTCAAGAATAACGGTCGTAGCGATGTATTTGTGATTAAGTATAGTGATGACCGAATTTAGCACATTAATAGCTTCACACAAATCCGTCAAATTTAAATCTAGTTTTAATAAGCTAAATCATGGTTCTTAACGTTTAACTTCATGTTCATATTAATATAGAAGTTAAGAAAAAACACGAAGCAAGAAGGTCACATAAATTCTATAAAGCACAAATACTCGTATAATCTACCCTCATGCATGATTAACCCTGGCACATACATATACGCTCGTCACATCATATATGCATCATCCCCGCATGTAGCAAACACTATCAATCAGTAGGAAAATTTTTTTCAATAAAGTTAGGCAAGACACTTACCAGAAACAAGACAAATCGATACACTAGAAGCACCATCCCGCTCAAATCGACCTCCGAATGGCTTGAAACTAGCCAAAAGCAATTTGAAATCATCAAATAATTCCATATGAAGCAAACCCAAATGATAAAGGTCGAATCTTTAATTAAATACTCAAAGTCAACCAAAAATTCAAACCCGGGCCCGCGCCTCGGAACTCAAAAAACTCATAAAATCCGATAGCATATTCAATTATAAGTCTAACCATACTAATTTTACTCAAATCCGACTCCGAATCGATATTCAAAACTCAAAAATTCACTTTAGGAAAGTTTAAACAAAAACCTCCAATTTCTCTTCTGAACTCATCAAATAAAAGACAAAAACGAAGATGGAATCACGGAATATAATCAAAACCGAGTAAAAAATACATACCCCAATCCATGTGGTAAAATTTGCCTCCAAAATTGCCCAAATCCGAGCTCCATAGCTCAAAATGTGATAAAATAACTCAAAGGTCCGAAATAGAGTACTTATATGCACTGCCCCGTGGTACCCAACTCATGCCGAACCACATCAAATCAACTCGGAATGACTTCAAATTTTGCACACAAGTCCCAAATAACATAACAAAGCTTTTTTAATTCCCCGAATCATAATCCAAACCCGATATTATCAAAGTCAACTCCCGATCAAACCTATGAACTTTCAAAACCTTTAATTGCCAACTTTCGCCAATTAATGCCAAAACCTTCAAGAGACATCCAAATGCAAAAAATCAGGGCCTACGCTCAAGTCCTACATCACCATTCGAACCTAACCGAACCATCAAAACTCCAATCCGAGATTAATTACACAAAAGTCAAACTTGGTCAACTCTTCCGACTTAAAGCTTTTTGGTTGAGAATCATTCTTCTAAATCAATCCTGAATCGCCTGAAAACCAAAACCGACGATTCACACAATCATAATATATCATATGAAGCTATTCATAACCTCAAACTGCCGAACTAAATACAAATATTCAAAACGACTGGTCGAATCGTTACAGCACAAAAAAGGAACTATGAAGATGAATCATAATTGAACAATAGACCTAAACCCTATTAAGGATTTGAAGATGATAATGGAGAAATTAAAGTTTAGATTTTGTAAAGGGTTGCTGATTTGGGAAGGGGAGGGAGGAAGGTGTTCATCGAGCTAGGGTTTAGTTTTTACATACGTGGTTGGATTTTATTAGGGTGCGCTAAGTTAATTCTACACAACCAAGGTTAAATTAATGTGGAGTTGAGTCAAAAGATGGTGTGTATATATATAGGAGGGACTTAGCAAGATGATGTGGCATCTCCCATAGCGTTGGAATCCTATTTATCTTTTTTTTATTTTTTTGACTTTTTTCTTTCATTTTTACCATGTATCTTATTTTAAAAATCCATATCCATAACTCACACCTCTTGATTGAGGGTTGTGACTTTTCAAGTTCATAACCCCCAATTATTTAATATGATATAAATTGTATTTTGGGTTGTGGCTTTTCTAATCCATAACCTCCATTTGTTTAATGTATTATAAATTGCATCTTCCTTCATTTTCTCCTACTCTGCATCTTCCTTCATTTTTCCCCTACTCCTATATTGAGTAACTTTATGCAGGGTAGTAACTGCTGATGGGTTTGTAACAGGAAGCACCCGACATAACCTTTTCAGAAGCCAAAAGTAACATGGCCTTGCACATAAGTAACATGGTCTTGCTGATGTTCCTTATCAATGGCCGTTCTTTCCCCATCAAATGAAACAAGTAATTTACCTATTTGCTTTTATTGATAGATTTTTGGAATAACTATATCTTTTTATATTTATATTTTAACTCACATGCTTGATTTTTGGAGTCTTGAGTGGGATGGTTCAATGGAGGATAAGCTTAGGTGGTATTGTTTGCTCTCTATTTTCTCTTTTCAGAGTACCATTATGTACCCAACTGGGATACTCAAACCTACAATCTGGGTTGTTCATGACATGTCAACAGTTTACATTGAATTGCCATGACAGAACTTGGTAAAACATACTTTTGCATTATAATTCTCAATATATTTTTATGCAAAGGTATACCATGGTCCAGTATACATATCATGTTGTGCCAGAATCTATCACATTTCTAGTGCCACCCTTGTGCTTTGGTTTGAATATAACCGTTACCAAAACCTAAAAGACCTTTAAATTACATTCATCGACCAAGATAGTAATTTTGTAGAGAAGTGAGTTCTGTTATAAATGTGGAAACTCAGCCTTTTCCCTTACGTTTTTTCTTTTTATGAAATTTTTATTTATTGAGTAAAGTCTATTATCTATCTATATTCGTAGGTGACTTGTCCTAAAATAATTATTGGAAGAGGAGCGTAACTGCCTCGAGTAAATTATATTGGAGAATCAAAATAAATAATAAAACATATCAAAAGGAAAGGAAGTGAAAATGTAAATGCTCCTATCATACATTTAAGTTACTTTCGTAACCTTTTTTTTAACAACTTTTCTCTCTTTCTTTTTTTATTTGACATTTAAAATATATGAAAAAGCTATAAAAATATAATTTTAACTTCCAAGGAGAATATACGTATTTATGTACAAAGTTAAAAAAATGTAATATTCATAAGATAAAGTTGAAATGTTCCAGACCAAAAAAAAAAGTTGAAATGTTAAAATTATGTAATAAAAAACTAGAGGAAACAATATTTTTGTAACTTCTTCAACCACTATTAATTTTCATCGAATAGATTAGCCTGTGTTAGGTCTCCTTTAAGGTTTGCATTATATTGCTATACACGACCTTTTTTCAAGTTCACTAATTCGTATGATTTATCATGTCAAGGATCCTCTTCTACATTCCCTATCATATGGAGATGAAAATTTTCATCTAATTGTTTTTAACCAAATTATTACTAAAAGTTCGCTCTCTTTTTCATTCTATTTGATGAAGTCAAACCACCTCCTTTAGTATGTGGATTCTTGTAATATACTTTATTTTTTTTCCTTTTCAAGTTCATCAACACCAATAAAATTTTGTTTGTTGATTCTAATGATTATTATTGTTCACCTAAAATAGTCGTTTTGCAGTTTTAAGCTAGGGTGGTAATCAACAACAAAAAAATTAACAGTGAACTTTACATTGATTAAAACGTGACTTGAAACTAACTATAATATAAATAAATTTTACTTACCGACATATCTAAAGCTATAGGCGTCGTATCATGTAGTAGTACTACATCTATAACCTACAAATTCAAAATTAATAAAGGTCAACAACGCTTTTGTTTGGAAGATTAACTACAGTTTGTGATTGGCATGCATATAAATCAAAAAACTAATAAGTCGAATATAAAAGAGAGATATCACTCAAATTTTAAAAGAGACTCATTAAAGTGTAGGTGATGCCTCATCGCCAGAAAATATGGAGGAGATAAAAGACACAATAATTAATGCCAGGGAACATCTATATCATTTGGATGTAAAAAAAACTACCCAAATAAAAATTGATGTTTTCATAAGGAAGCCATTGAACCACTTTTTGCCTTGCTGCTCTTGCTTCTCTGGCTATTGCTCCGGCTAAGGCTTTCTTTCCGCTTTGACTTGCCTTCCTTATCTTTCAATCTGGACTTGCATTTGTTGCATATATGACTATTTCAGAGTGATTGCTGCTATCTGGCTCCCACGTACACGATTGTTTAGGTGTGTGCTAAAAGCGCTCCTTTAATACCAGCCGGTATTTGAACCCCCTTTTCATATCTCGGAGAAGATATGCAAGCAAGTGAGGACTTAGAATAACAATTTAAAGATAATAGTGTCATTGGTGTGGAGTAACCCATATGTATTACTAATGTTTGCTTGAAAATACAAAAAAAATTATTTGTTTCATCTCGATTGAAATTACCACAAATCATCCTATTAATTATTTATGGTTTTACGATCTTTAATAATAAAACTTGAAATTTAATCTATTTGGATTTGAAAACTAAAAAGAATCTTTAAAAGATTCTTTTTTAATTCAAATGTTATAAAAGGTTTATCGTGTATATCTAATAAGGTTTTTACGATCGCGCGAAGTGCGAACAATGTACTAGTAATTATTATACTCCATCTATTTCAATTTAAATAACACACTTTCCTTATTAGTCTGTTAAAAAAAGAATGACATATTTTTATATTTAGAAATAATTTAATTTTAAACTTTATCCTTAATGAGAAGTTTTTATAACCAAACAAATATTATGACTCCACAAAACTTTTGACCGTTAAACTTTAGGATCACATATTTTAAAAATCTTTTTTTTTTAATTTTGTGATAAGTCAAACTACATCGTATAAATTAAATTTAAAAACGATGTACAGGATCATTAGTTAAAAAAAGCATCGGCCAAAAGTGTAACGTGAGTGGAGCGAAAATATTGAAGTTTTAACGGATGGCAATCACTCTGTGCTCCGTCGTCATCAGCGTTGCGAATGACTCCAAATATTTTTAAAAGAAAGCACATTGTGGCTCGCAGGGGTTCTATTCATCACACAAACAGCCCCACAGTGCAACTGTCTGCTTCTGGATTGTTAACCATGTCAGTGATTGCTCTTTTCACGGCGGCGACGAAGCTCGCCGGACTCCTAGTAGCGGTCACCGTTGCCGCCAATGCTTTTTCCTACTCCGTCTACCGGAAGAAGAACCTCAAGCAATTTCGCTCTCCCATAGACGACTCCGCCGATGTTCTTGCTCACTTCAATGTCAATCCCTCTGGTAATTGAACTCCTTTTAGCTTTTGAACCTAATCGAAAACTTTTCAATTAGCCTACTCTATCTGTTTCATTTTTATCGAAGTGTGCGATTGAACATGGAGTTTAAGATGCTATGGAAGGAATTTGGTTTATATATTAGTTCAACAGAGAAAATGTTATGTACAAGTTGAGCGAGTACGTTATTCCATTTTGGATGGTCAGTTGATATAAATTAACTTCGTCAGGAAGTTAAATGAACTTCACTTGGTCTAATCATTGTTGAAGCAGGATTTTATATTAGCTTAGGCTTACTTAAAGTCTGGATAGAAAGGTGGATGGTCCCTTATCCCTGAAAAGAAAAAGAGGAAGGTTGATGAGCCTTACCTGAATATCCACCTTCCTAAAACTCTTATTCTCCCTACACTGGTATCCCCCATATTCTAGGGTTTCAATACGATTTTTGTGACCGATACATGCTGATAGTGTTCTTATGTGAAGTTAGATTAAGTTAGTATTCTGTGTGCTGCAACTAACATCACATCGGTATTCAATAATCCGTGGTTTCCCCATAGAATACTCGAGGGGTGTATTATATTATCATACAGTTTAATGCTGTAAATATGTTTCTCTTTTCAGTTATACAACTCTTGCTGCAGTTATATGGTTCATGCCTTCACATAGATGCATATGATAGTCCACAAGAAATTAACATAATTATCGAATATCTGTATATGTGTGAGTTTGTGGTTTGACCTCTCGGCAATACTATCTAGAAGGGGAGAAAGGATTCTTTTTTGGATTGGCTACAGCACCTGCACATGTTGAAGACAAGCTTGATGATGCTTGGCTCCAGTTTGCCGAAAATACTTCCTGCGACCAGTCAGAATCACATCAACACCCGCGCCCTCAACCAGCAGATGCTATTATGGCCTCTGCTACAGGTGATGGTGGATCTCAGCAAGCCCCCTTAACTCAGAGAGAAGCTACCAAGACAATAAAGAGGAAAAAGTCCCTTAAGATAGCCATCGAGGCACAAATAAGAGGATTTGAGAAGTACGTAGAAGTGGAAGAGCCAACTCCAACTGAGCAGTGTGATCATAATGTTGCTGCCTGGCATAACGTCCCACACCCGTAAGTTCTGTGGTTCGGCTTAGACATTCTTATTGAAGTCTCAGAAATTATGGGTGCATAGCATGCTGAACTCTAACTAAACTATACTCGTGAAGCTTTGCTCTCTGAACTTGTGAAGTCTCGATAACCTGATATTAAATATCAACAAACCCATTATCCACTTATTTGCTTTGACTTGTTGAATATTTGGGATTGTCTCAGGGAGGAAAGGCTAAGGTTTTGGTCTGATCCTGACACTGAACTGAAATTAGCTAAAGATACTGGTGTTCAGGTCTTTCGAATGGGAATAGATTGGTCCAGGATCATGCCTGAAGAGCCACTCAGTGGATTGAAAGAAACTGTAAGAACTTAACAATGAAATGCATTAGTCTACTTTTATATTGTTATTGTATTCTGTATGTTAACCATTCTTACAAATCGTATTGACTCCTTGATTTCTAAAGCTCACTTTAGCACATAAGTATAACCTACTTCTGTATCACTAGAGTCTAGAAGCATACCGTTTTGGACGTTATGGAAACGGATTTGATGTAAACATCACCTGTGCTAAGTATCACCAATTTCAGGCTATTGTAAAATTTGTTTCCTCTGTTCCGAATTTCATATCAGCCTTTGTTTTGGTTTTCCAAAATTTATTTCCCCCTAAGAAGACCATATCTTCTACCCAAAGTAATATAACACCAGAATTTATGTGGACTTGCTGGTACTTTAATAATAGAGCCTCTCTTTTTCACTTATTCTAAATCTGGAGTGAGAGGTAGCCCTCACGTGTTCTCCCACCTTACACTAAAGAATATACTTTTTGATTTTTATCTTTTTCATTTTTGGTGTCAAGGCAAAATCAGGAATTATATTTTCATATTCTTTTGGGGAGGGGGATTGGGAGTATGAAGTTCACGTGGTTAAAGTAATGTGGTGAATATGCTTTACATACTCCTAAGACATATTAAGTTACTTGATATATCTTATAGGTCAATTTTGCGGCATTGGAGCGATATAAATGGATCATTAATAGGGTCCGATCCTATGGGATGAAGGTCATGCTGACATTGTTTCATCACTCTCTACCACCGTGGGCAGGAGAATATGGGGGATGGAAATTGGAAAAGACAGTTGACTATTTCATGGAGTTTACCAGGTTTGGTTACTGTATGAATTAATTCTTCAGGGTTAGGCTCATATACAACAACAACAACAACAACAACATACCCATTGTAATCCCACAAGTGAGTTTTGGGGAGGGTGGAGTGTACGCAGACCTTACCCCTACCTTGTGTGAGGTAGATAGGCCGTGGGATCAGGCTCATATATATATATATATATATATATATA